CCAAAGCACCACAGTTTTCTTACCACCTATGTTGATTCTCCTTTTCGGGCTTCTTCTAGGACTTCTTATGCTCATCCCCTTGCCAGTATCAAGGGGAATCAGTCTTCAGTCTTGTTTCTTTTCTCACTCTATATATCTTCCTATGGTGATTTCATTCAAATTCATGGCTTCAACTATATTTTATAAGCTTATGATTCCTAAATTTATTGCCATTTTTGAAACATTAGCTGATGTATCTCCGTATTTCCTATTCCCTATTGGTTTACCGCTCATCCTTGCAAAAAGAAAAACAAAACTCAAGATACAAAGTAGCAGATTTTCCTAGGTTCACAAGGCCTGGGAGGAAGTCACAAGTCTCTAGTGAGGAAGTAGGTGTGTGGTGTGTCTAGGCAGACGTGGTGTGGACGCTTGACTCAGTGCTCCTCTGATTTGTCTCCAAAGTACTTGCAGGGGACTGGGATACTGGCATCAGAAGGAGTCTTAGAGATATTCTTTGGTCTGTTTTTCAGATGAATAATAAGTGGCAGAACTGGTACTAGAACCCTGGTCATCCAGTGACGCTTGACCTGCTGCCATCTCAGGACCTAATAAGGTGGTCTTCGTCCCCTAAATTTGAGTTAGTTTAACTTAAGGAAGTTAAGGGAAATCCCTGTTTCCAGCTGGGATAATGACTGATAGGAAATCCCAGGAGATTTCAGTTTATTAGTTTTTACAATTTATATGTAATGGCATAACAACTAAAACAGAAAAAAAAAATATATGCTTAAAAAGGCCCCATATGTTCTTTTAATAATAATTTTAATTGTATCTGTCTATGTGAGAAAGACACTATTAAGAGAAAACTTGAAACTTTTTTCTTTAATCATATGTCTACTTTTAGCTAATATTTATGGGGGCCAACATTATCCCTCTTCAGTAACTATATTTTTCTGTTTCCTGCAAGGGTCATGTGAAAGACTGTGTATAATTCAGAAGAGATATTTCTGCAGTGAGAAAAAATACCTCATATTTAATTCGAGTCTCTTCCTGACATCTAGGCTGTATCTAGGACACATCTGGACATTTGGAAACATCCATATTTGACTGAGTTTTCCAGTTTTCAGCAGAATATTTAGAAAATAAAAGAACAAGGAACTTACGCTAATCATTTTTTTACAAAGGCAACAGCATTTTGGTGGGGCCCCTATCCCCAGAGCACAGCCTTTATTTCTTGCCCCGTGTCAGACTTGCCCCACACTGGTAGAGGAGGCTGACCCTCAAAGGGTGTGGTTTTTGAGGTTGCCACATGGCCTTACCCGGACTTAAAATACCTCTCTCTGGCTGCCAGATGGCCTGGGGAAGCACCAGACACAGGGCTCATTGACCTCAGAACTCGGTGTCTTAGGACTGCAGGCTTTTTCAGGATACTTCCCAAGTTTCTGTTCTGAGTATCTGGAGCCCTTCAAGCCTTCAGCCAGGCTCTTGCTCCTTTTCTCCTCCTCCCTTTAGTGAAAGTTGAGGGTAAGAATTACTTTTGGGCCAGTAAATACTGAAAGTGAAGCTTTTACTCTTCCCCTGAGAACACTAATCTTGAACTGCTTTCCAGAAGAAAGGCTCCCTTCTTCAGCCTGAATCCTTTGGAAATTGTGTGAATAAGAGGTGTGGAGAAACCCCGCAGAGAACGTACTCGGGAGGCTACAGACGGGCCTGTCCCTGGGTCCCCGGCGGGGGCAGGGTGTGGGGGCGAGCAGCCTCAGACATACTCCCAGGTCCAGTTCCCTACTGTGTGTAGAACAGAAAGTGCAGTTCACTTCCAGTTATTCAATGATGGTGTCTTGAAAATTAGAAAAACAATCCTCCTGAAGGAAAAGGCAAAGAACATTATTTAGGGAGGGGAATTAGTTTTTTCTATTTATAGAATGGAAAAATAAGATACACTGGTTTGAAAAGGGAAAAACAAATATATTGCAAAGGAGACTTTATTCATCAAACATTTATTGAGCGCCTGCTATATGCCAGAGATACTTGTAGGCTCTGGAGATATAATAGTCAGTGGGCTAGACAGACACGACCTCTGGCCTCATGGACTTCCCAAGGTAGTGGAAGGGCCGGAGGAGATGGAACCCAGTGTGTGTGTGTGAAGAGGGGTCGGAGGAGATTTCTCTGAAGGAGTGATGTTTAAGCTAAGATCTGAAAAGGGGGAGGTGGACACCCTCCTCAATTTAACCCCGATTTAGTTTGGCTTCATTTTCAAGGATCCTCTTACAAAACAAAACAAAAATTTAGTTCTAAATCTTTTATTTTTTCTACCCTTTGATGATTGCCTACCAGAGATACATTCTGATTTCAATAGGAGACAATTGATTGTTACTTCTTTCTCTACCCCTTGCATAGATATTTATTATTTCCTGTATCTCACTGTATTATGATTAATTGGCCTGCATGTCTGTCCTCCTCTAGCTTGTGAGTCCCTTAGGGTCACAGATGATGTCTTAATAGTCTCTGTTTGGGCCTAAGATAGCTCTCTAACGAGTAAATAAAGAAATCAAGATGGATGAATAAAAGAAATAGATGCGTTCACAGTATCACTTTGCATTGAGAAAAGTATCATCTCACAGTATCCTTCCTCCCATTCAGTTCATTCAGTCTTTAACAGATTTATTGGGCATCGACCGTGTGCAGGCCCTGGGTCTGTCACGGGACATGAGCAAGCAAATAGAAATGGTGCTGGCTCTTGAGGAGCATGCAATCTGATGGAGGAAGTCAGACTTTATATAAATACCCACTCAAGTACCTAATTCCTAACACTATTAAAGAGACGATATAGGTGAAAATATTGAAACAAAAGATTTTAGCTCAAAATGGCAGGAAAATTTAAAGTTTTATCAGATTTTTGGGTGTAACACATTTTCTTCCTCTGTTCCCTCCTATCCTCCAGCAATAATTAAGTTTTTATACTCAAGATTTCCTTAGCAAAAGTAGCATAAATTACTGTTCATTCTAGATATTTTACTTCTTGGCTCAGCTCAATTGCTAATGGCGAAATCCCTTTTTTGGTAAACACCCGTCTGATTTGCCCCAAAGGTGTTTCCCAATGGCCCTAACAGTTAATGAGTCAGAATCCTATCTTGAATGGAAGTTTTGGAGCTCTGAAAAATTACCAACATCTATAATCAGGGGTGTATATTCTTGCACATTAAGAATATGAAAGGACAGGGCCTGGCCCTGTGACCTAGTGGTTAAGTTCGGCATGCTCCACTTTAGTGGCCCAAGTTCCTGGGTTTGGATTCTGGGCACAGACCTTCACCACTCATCAGCCATGCTGAGGCAGCAACCCACATATAAAATAGTGGAAGACTGGCACAGATGCTAGCTCGGGGCTAATCTTCCTCAAACAAACAAACAAACAAAGAAAAGGAATATGAAAGGAGAGATAGAGACAGGGGTAGAAAGTCAGAACAGCAGTCATTTGCGGTGCCATCCCAGTGTCAAGAAGATGACTATTGGAAGCTTATGGTAACTAAACACAGGTCAACATAGTTTTTCTTCTGCCTCTAGATCTAAAAAAATAAGTTTTTAGTATTAGAAGGTGAATGTTGGGGGAGCAAACTGACCTCTTTCCTATAGCAGGACAGCACACTCCTGTTAGGTTGAAGTTTCATAGTCTCCTTTGAAATTTGTGGATACAGATTAGAAAAAAAAACCCAGCATCCTTTTCTTTTCTTTTTAGTTTTTCTCGTGTTTGCGTTTCTTCTTTCCCTTTTTCCCCTGAAAGCTATCACGTGGACCTCGGAGCTGTGTTGCTAGTATTAATGACACATATGCTATTGGCTGTAACCAAGTGTGAAGGTGAGCGGGCACATGAAAAGGTGTCATAATAATAGAGAATGCTTTTCACAGATATTTTATTTCTCAGGTCAAGGAAACTGCTGATAATCTGAAAAGGAAAGGCTTATTTACTATTGTTGCTATTCTTGATGAAAATATGATCTTTAGTCCTAGCCTAGTGTTGAATTGCTTACCTTTTTAATAAAAATGTGAGAACTGAATCGATACGAATAAAGATAGCAAGTTAAGAAAGATGGAATAAAAGAAAAGAAAAAAGTGTGGAACACTACTGACAGCTTCACCACTAAAGTAGACCACTTCCTCAAATCAATGTCCCACCCGCATTCCCCTTGTCAGCCACAGATAACAGCCAAGTAAGAGTCGTACAACAGAAGCAGAGAGCAGGACAGTGGTTACCAGGGGTGAGAGGTCGGGGAGAGGGGAGGTTGTGGTCAAACGGCGCAAAGTGGCTGTTATGTAGGATGAACCAGTCAAGAGATCTAGTGAACACGTGATGGCTATCGTTGACAATGCTGCATCGAATACTGCGAATTTGTGAAGAGACATTTGAGGTGCTCTTTCCACACATACGCAAAAGGTCACTATGTGAGGAGATGTTATGTTAATCAGCTTGACTGTATATATATATCAAATCATTGCGTTGTACACCTTAAATATATACAATTGTTAAAAAAAAGAATCATTTATAGGATGCACTTCATACGCCCTAAATCATGCATTCTCAGCGGGGTAATATCGTCTCCAAGGAGGTGACAATTGGTTCGTGTGGGGGGGGGGGGTAGGTGCAGTATTACTTTTTAATGTATAAAGCATTGATATGTGTACAGTATATAAACAGACATACAGTATATCTACTATATTAGCCTTTCACAGAAGGGGAGAGCAATAAGAAAAAATGTCTAGAAAGGTTCTGTAGAGGGAAGACGATAATGAAAACCAAATGATTGAGAAACACTGCCCGTAAAGGTATCTCCATGCAGTCTAGAGGAGATGATTTACTTCCAGGTGAAGCTACTTAATCTTAAAGAATTTTATATTTATGTTATAGCATCAACTAGGAAATGACCATGATGAGATGAAGCCAAAATGGTAATATGGCTCGTAAAAGATGGATAAGCCTGGGGTAAATTGATAGCTTCTCAAGAGCCTTACTATAAATCCAACAACTTGGGCCCAAATAGACTCTCTAATTGGCACAGATGGAGTGGTAGGAGGGAAACTCTTTTTTGCTTATTCACAAACTCTTATGGACAGAATCTGTAGTTTTCATGTGTCTGTGAACAGTAGACGTGTTCCTAACTGACACCCGCTTAACCAACTTGCCAGACTGACAGAGGTTCTCCGTACTCCTGTCTCTTGTCCTGGCTGAGGGCCATGGCTCTTGGAGCCCTCCAGGCGAGTCGGCTACTCGCTGTTATACCCCGCACTTCTGATCTCCCCAGTTGAGTTATGTGCTTACCAAGAGGTCCCAAACCTGTTAACACCATTTGTTTTTGTTACTATACTCAGTTGTCAAAGAAATAGCAGGTAAGCCTGTGAAAGCAGAAGGGAAGAGGGTTATTGCTTTTACAAACGCCACATTGAATGCGTTAGAAAGACTCAATAAGGAGAGTCACAACTTTAAAATGAGAACAAAGATGTTGCATGCTTGTCCCCAGCCGTGTTCAAATTCGGGGACTGAGAAGGGAGAGCTCTGGATTAGCCAGGATGGGGGTTTTTCCAGAGGAGTGCGAAGGAGGGAGAGAAGGTCCAGGAGTTAAAGGTGTGTGTGCTCCAGGGAGTATGGTGGTGGATATTGGACTTTAAGCTGAGTAAGGAGGAAAATGAGAACATGAAGGGTGTGAGAAACAGTGAAAGGATGGTAGTCATGGTCGACTGGAGGGGGTTGGGGTAAGCGTGAGAGTCACCTGAAATATCAGAGGTTGTAATTGGAGAACAGAATGCTTGTAATTGAGGTTATGGGGGGTGGTGTGCAGTTAATGGTAATGACAGGATAGGATTGGGGGGCTGAAGTCTTGTAGAGGACAACTCAATAGGGGTGAACAAAAAGGGTATGAGAGGCCAGCTTCTATTGGAAGGATATTGAAATCCCTAAGACTTACCCCAGAAATAGGGTTGGAGGGAGACAGTGAAATGGCTCAAAGAATAAAGAGTGATGTGCGATTCGGTCAGTGGCAAGTCAGTAAGTGCTGAGGGTGTTGAGAGGACAGAGAACATCGTGAGCTGCCACGTCGGGGAAATGTCGCGGAGGAATGGGGTCCCGTCTGGGTGTCGAAGGCTGGAGAGTGTCTGGGGACAGGCAGAGAGGATGGGAAGGTGTTTCAATTTGTGGGCCATAGGAGGAGCACAGGCCAAATGGCAAGAAAGAGTGTGGGGTGTTCTTGAGGTCAGCGAGTCTACCAGCTCTGAAAGCTTTGGAATGTTGCACTGAGGGCTTTTGGTTTTGTGCTTTTCACTTTTTCTGCAGAAAAGCAATTATTGTTCGGCTGCTGCCTTTCAGAATTCTCTCTAAGTGCTAATCTCTACTGCTGTTCTCCTGTGAGTCAGAAGGCATTCTTGCGTTGAAGTTTCGAGGCTGCGAGAAATTGCCTACGCCTGTAAACAGAGGTAAATAGTCAAACACATTATCATACAAAAAAGCAGATGGAAATAGATTAGAAAGGTGGAAGACAGAAATGGAGGCCGTACCCAGGTTCACTGGGGAGCTACGTTTTCAGAAGCGTGTCTGGTAAACCTCAGAGTCTTTATCTTTGAACTCTGATCTTAGGACTCTTTATCTCAGAATGTCACCTCTTCAAATTTGTGATTTTCTTCCCGTAGTGCTAAAAGTAAACTAAGTTAATTCTGCCACTTCCACTTCCCTTTGACTTTCCGTTCACGATTTTTGTAAAGCACAATCACAATTTACTGATGTGAGAAGAGATTTGACCTACCACGAGAACCCGTACAGAGGTACAGTCTGACCGGGGGCTTCTGTTTATTTAGGTAGAACAACGTGGAAAGTCAAGGTATCAGAAAGCTTCTAGGTGAGACGTATTCAGAATAAGGGTAATTTTGGGGGATGAGATAAATGTTTAGTGACATCAGGCTATGCATGCCCAATGTGTCCATCTCCAAAAGGGTCTTCCTGTCACTCGTCATCGCTTGTTCCATTCAGGGTCCTGGTGGGAAAGAGATGGCACACTCAAAGGTTTCACTGAGGAGACTTTAACAAAGGGACCCTTTACAGGGTCGTGGGCAGCGAAGGGAACTAGCAGAGAGGATGAAGCCTCTAGGGGACTAGCAATGTCCAGGGCGTTACTGCTCCTAGGCCTGCAGGGACAAGGAGAGTGAGTGGTGTTAGAGAGCCCAGCATGAGCCATAGCCACACGACAGGGACATCCAACAGGAGCCATGGCCAGAAGTAGAGGAATGCAACCACTGCTGAAACCTGGCCAGCCAGGGAAGGAGCAGACAGAATGGATACCCTGGTCTCTCTCTCTTCCCACCCTCCAGTCTCCTCCTGTTGGTGGAACCCGACTGGAAGCCAGAAGGCAAGAGAACCCAGGTGATGCAGCCAAAGTGGTCACCCTCTCGAGGTACAGCCAGCAAGAGAAAAGCCAGGAAGATCTGGAGAGGAAAAAGAAGAACAACCAACACCCTAGTTTTTCAACACTTCAGTTTCCCAGAAATCCATGTCCTTTTAGTTGCTTCCAAGAGCAGCACTTTATTAAAATTCTGAAAAATTAGAAGTCTGAAAAAGTCCTTTTTGTCATTAAGCCACTGTCAGGGTTTTGGAGGGGGCTCAATAAATAGAACATACTCTGGAATAATCCAAAATAATGGCAAGTGGAAGGCAAAATAGCATGCTTACAATCAGTCAAGTTAGGTTCGAGGGAACAGCTTAGTGAAAAGACCTGGTGAATCTGCCAGCTGAGCCGTGGAAACAGAATTCGTTTTGTGTTATGAGCACAATTCATCAGTCTTCTCCAACCAGTCTCAGATGGCACCAAATCCCGTGGGGGAGAGCCTGTTTCTAGAGGAAAGTAGAGACTGTGAGCTTCCCCTGAGCAATTTGTCCCCTGCCCCACCTTCCAGGGGAAGATGGGGAGGAAAGAGCAGGCCTATGCACCAGGGCAAAGCTGGAAGTGTAGAGTCCAGCACATGCCGTTTGAGGGGAGCTCATGCCCAAGAGGAAGGTGGGTGAAGTGGGGCACATACATGCCTAGTTCTTTTTCCCAAACTTCCCAGGCAGGGCAGTCTCTCCACTGCCTTGGAGCAGAGTGAGTTAAGGGCATTGGAGGGAACTGCCTCTTCTCCATCACGTCTTCTCATTCATTGGTTCATTCAGCTTACACGCTTTCAGGAGTCAGGCACCCTACAGATGCGGGGAATGCAAAGATGAACAGGATGCGATTTATCCCTAGATGGTGATAATAAGAACAGCCAGCAGTTACTGAGCATGTTCCTTAAGGGAGGATGTGTTTTTCATTCATTTCTCATGAAACGTTCACAGCCACCATAGTAGACAGATATTATTACTAACTTCATTTTCCAGCTGAAGGGACTGAGGCTTGACGAGGTTAAGGGTCTTGCTCAAAGTCACAGAAATTAGTTAATGCAGTTCTAGTTTTCAAATGTGGGCAGTTTGGCTACAGAGCTGGTGTTCTTCACTCCTTCCCATGGCACAGGCCAGTGGTGGAGACAGGCATGGGGAGAAATAATTACAGTGTCATGAAGGAGGTAAGTGCCAATGGAGGGCTGTACGGCATGGTGAGGGAGCGGAGGAAGGAGTGACTACACAGGCCTGTGGGTATGACTTTTGTGCAATTTCCCTTGTCCATTGCCAGAAATCGACATGGGGAGTCTTTTTGGGGCATGCTTTGCTATTCCTATACATGGACTCAGATATAGTGCTCAGTTCATGCTGCCCCGCTGCCCCTCCCAAGCATAACAGCACTTAAAATAATTTCTTCCTGACATCTTGGACCCCCTCCAAGAGTTCTGTTCCAGCTTTTGGACAAGGCAGAAACAGGAAGAGGATGTCCTAATGTTCCCAGACTAGAGACTGAGTTGGAATTTGGAATAGTTTTGTGATTAAAATCCTTGTGAAGATTCTATCATCCTATGTGATATGTGTGTGTGTCCACACATATCAGCTGTGATACATGCGCCATAGAGAATCACTAAAATCAGCTTAGAGATTGGTTAAATTTCTATACTTCTATGGTTTATAGGGCTTGTGTAAAAAGAAGATGATTTTCTATTTATAAATTTTCTCACTTCAAAGACTTTTTTATGCCACAACTTTGTCATAAGTTAGTAGCAATGTATCACAATGTCTGCTAACCATGCAAAGCAAATTCATTTTTCTGTTTCATTCCTCTAGGTAGGAATTGTTTCAATTTGACCCCCTTTCTCACAGCTTATCTTTGAGAAATGGAACATCCGTACCTTTGGTTTTTATATCACTCGATCCTAGAGTAGGTATCATTAAGTCGATGTGACCAGACTGGATACTGTACACAGGTGCCGTCTGCTGCCGCCAAGTGATGGCCTATTCATGCCAGGATATTAAGTACATCCTGCAGTTGGTGTAAACACCAGGTGGGATTCTAATCCATTCAGCACAGAGCCCCTCGCTTTTTCCTCTGTAATGAATGAAAATCTCTGGGAAGTCCCTACTCAAGAATTTTCCAAAGCTTTTGAAGTCAGCGAGCCTCCAAAACGACCCAAGAAGAGAAGACCTAATTACTCCTGAACCTCCCCATTCACACTTATTTCTTGGAGTGACCTCAGAAACTCACAGAGAAGTTCCAAGTTAACATGCAGCCCCTTTCTTGTGCTAGGTTACTCCTTCAGGCTTTCGGGGTTGGAGAAATTTTCTCTCCTTTCCAAAGCTGAAACTGCTTGGGAGCTTTGCTCCCCTGACTCATTGCTACCCTATTCTCCTCTTAGGGTTATAGAGAAGACAAAGCGAGAGAAGGTAATGCTCCCAACCATGGGATACCTTCTGGGTGTTGAGTAATCAAAGCAGGGTCTTTGGTCTGTAGAACAAATGGTGACACTATGAAGATCCAACCAGAGCCATCATCAGGGGATTTCCCAGGAGGAAGGACAGCCCTGCTAACTGATCTGGCCAGATACCACCACACAAAGGGGCACGGGCACTGTAGCTCCACTCCAGCGGCCTCTCATTCCTTAGGCATACCGGTATATCCTACTGGCACAGGAGGTCTGACAAGCGGAGGAATTTTGGAGAGGGCACAGTGCACTAGACTTGCAGGAAAAGATGCTGTGTCTTCTAAGAACTTATCTATCCTCAAAGGAATCACCCGAAAATGCACAATTGTGGCAAACCAGAGGCTGTCTCCCAATATTCATTCTTTCTTTTTTCTATAGTATCAGAATCCTCAATATGTAGCTAAGAACATCCTGGAAGCTCTGGTGGTCATGTGACTAAGTTTTGGCCAGTGGGGTACAAGCAGAAGTGATGCCATTTCTGGGTGGTGCCCTTAAAGGGAAGAAGCAGGCACTCCCTTTCTCCATCTTACCTTTTGATTGGCTGGACTGTGACTGTGAGGGTAATCCATCTTGGACCATGTGGGTCCAAGGATGGCAGAGCTACGTGATAGAAGGCATGTGGGTCTCGGAGCGTCGAGCTGCCATTCCTGTCCTGGACTGCTTACTCCCAGACTGTTAGAGGAGAGAGGAAAAACCATCTATTGTGTTTAAACCACTGTTATTTTGGGTTTCTGTCAAAGCAGTCAAGGTTTTATCCTAAGTCAGTGACTCTGGAGTTCAGTAGGATGGAGTCAGGTTTAGCTGAGCACATTGCCTTGTTAATCTCACGCGTCCATTTCAACAGGTAGCATTGCTCCTCCCAGAGCTCTGTAGCTTCCATTTAGGGTGCTGCCTTTTGGGGGCTACTCAGAGTAAGAAAGGGCTATGAAATTAGGCCTCAGCTAGAATTGGGATTTGAGATCTAGACTTTTCGCTTAGGCTCAAAAATTCTGCCCACAGCTGTCACTCCAAACACTGCCCTCTTTCTCTGGCACTCCCTAAGATCGACATCCGTAAGAACAGGACTACTTTTTCAGACATGACTACAGTGTTTGAACTTGTTGCTAGGACATCTATGGAATTTCCATATTCTACCCCAGGAAAGAAATCTAATTTTTCTTTGATGCCACATTCTTCTTTAGCCAGAAATACAAGGGAAACACTGTTTGCTGTGGCATTTTGGCAGAACTCTGAAGTGTGGCCCGGATCTGGGAACCCACAATCCAAGAATAAGTCACCATTTGCGTACAAAATTGTTGAATTTGGGTAGAAACTAGGTTCAGCTATGCTTGTGAAGCCACTGTCTTGCAGGGTCAAAAAGAGCTTATTTTTCAAGCAAGTGTGTTTCACTGTTTACTGGCGACTACCAAAATAATTATTTCCTGTGTGGGTCACGGAGAGTGAGGTAATCCGAAGGAAAATGTTCCATTGTGCTTGCTGGGCTGGGCAGTGCAGCAGCTCCAGACGTCCCCTTAAAGCAACAGTCATCATGTTGGATGGTCAAGTCTGGTTCCCATGTCCTTTGGAGGGAGATGCATTTTCTAATTAATACTTTCAGGATCTTGTGAGAGACAGCAAAGGTGAATGTACACACACACATACACATTAATACATCTGTGGGTGCCATTATCATGTGGTTCATTTAGCTGGTTTTATAGATGTTTTAGAAAGAGAATGTGTATATGAGCCAAGATAATGCTCTCTGCTCCTATCAACGCAAAAGCAAAACTTACCGGCCACCAGTTGTTATTGGTTCACTTGTCTGTCTTGAGCCGCTTGAGGGCATGCTTCATTTGTCTCCATCTTCCCAGCCCACATAATGGCCCATGACTGGCTGCGATGCCCATTAATCACCTGTGGATGAGTGTATGGCTTGCAAAGGAAGTGCATTCCAGGGAGAGCACTAGTACTCCAAAACGGATTTCTCTGGTGCTGTGACACTGAGATGAGAGAGTTTGCCAGGAGTGCTGGCCAGCCAGGACTGGAGCATCTCTGAGGTGCCAAACTCCACAGTCCCAGAGATTAAACAGCTCTGTGCTTCCTACCACCATCCTTTCTGGAGTCAGAGAAGTAGGCACAGAATTATCCACATCACTCTGTAGATCCTGGCACAGCAAGTAGAGTGAACTATGGCAGCCAGGTCAACAGGTGACAGATGATCAAATTAGGGCAAATGGGTTCCACTTCTTGTCCATAAAGCAGAAGAATGCTTTTGCATGTACACTATCTGATACTTCATCCTGCCTCAGCTTCCACTACTACTCTGGCATAGGAGCTTACTGTGTACCTTACAGAGTACAGAGCTGCATATTGTAAAAGGGAATGTTTGTTACTAATTAATCCATTAACCAGTTTTTACTGAGTGCCTGCTGTGTGCTAGGCGTTGTATTGGTGCTGGGGTACGGAGGTGAATAAGCCAGATGTGGTCTCTGCCCTTAAGAAGTTTAGCCTCTGATGGAAGAGATAGAAAAATACACAATAAATATAAGGAATAATTGCAAATTGTGGCCATTTAAGAAAAATAAACTGGATATTTGAGATAGGGTATAAAAGAAGGATGTACACAATTTACGTAAAGTGGTCAGAAATGACTTTCAGAAGAAGGAGAAAGCCTTGGCAAGAGTGAAGGGGAAGAACATTCCAGAAAGGGGAAAAAGCTCATGTGAAGGACCTGGTGCCTAAAACA